CCGAGCTCGTTTTCGAGATGATCAGCATTTAATGGAAGCCTTCTTACGAGCTTTTGGAGTAAAACTTGCGCCACCGGAAGTGATTAGAAAAAAATTGAAAAAGGTAATAGTTATTTGCAGACTATGTGATTGCACGAATGACGGCTAGTCAATCATTCTACGATAATACATGGATATTTTCGACAAAAAGACAAAGACATACATTAATTTGTCATATTTCGTAGTTTCGATGCTCTTAAAAAATCTCATAAAGTCGAACAAAAATCCCTACAAAAATTTATTTTTTCATGAGTTACTGATTTAAAGATTTTCTAAAATGTTGATATAACCTAGATTTTTAGGAGTTTTTTCGAATGAGCTATTAAAAATTAGAGAGTTCCGTACAAAATTTGAGGGTTTTGCCCTTTTGAAGCTAAAAACGCGTATGGTTCTTCAATAAAATCTTGTAGAATTTTCAGCGGTTTTTGAGCACGCGCACATCGTGGGCTCAAATCGAACGTTCAAAAGTAGGCAGCCACCTTAAATATTTTTGTATCTTAGGTCGTTAAAAAATACACTCACTATAATTTCGAAGAAATACTATATCCAAATCCACATTTACGATACGAAGACTCCCGGCGTGACCTCGGGTCGGTTGCCGAAGGAAATCCGTTGAACTGGTGTGGGTGGTACTCCCCTATATTCGCTATACGGGTACGTGCCGCCAAACAGGGTATGGTTTTCAGCGATTTTACTCTGGAACAGGGTATATAAAATCGCGCTCGCTCTGGGACAGGGTATATGAAATCACGCTCTCTCCTCTCAGGGTATCTATTTTTACAATACAGGAACTTGGTGTGGTTTTCAGAGATCTTGCTCTGGAACAGGGTATGAATTTCAGCGATTTTACTCTGGAACAAGGTCAGGGTTCGGAGGGCTAAGCGGCACATCCCTACCCTAACGGGTAAGAGTACCCCCCCCCCCCCCACCGGGCAGTGAGCTCCAAGTACGGGTCAGCAAGCGAGTTAGAATGTGAATACAGGCAAATTTCATGGCTTAAAGACGTGAAGACTAATGTCTAATGCGACTTTCTCGGATCTATAGGGATGTGATAGAGGGATTATGACTAAAATTTGACGCTGGAAAGAAAATTCGAAGACGTACGCGAGGTTTCAAAGACTCGTGATGTGATAGTTCGCTGTTGCGACCCCGATTATTTCTTACTGGTTGGGGGAAAAATCTTAAAACGGGCTAAATTCTAAAAATAACCACACAGAGCGAAAGAAGTGTTATCTCTCAATGATCGGGTAAAATTTCGAGGCTTTATTTCACGTTTCAATGAAAAATTTTATTGAACTTTTTGATGAATCCCCATACATTTCCTTATAACATGACACCACAGAAACCAAGCTTGGGCTACCTGTGGTAAATCTATTCTTCGTTTGCAATGGACGTCATAGCCGCCATGTTGGAAGAATTTGACAAAAGATTTTTCAATGAAATTCTTTTGTTATATCTTCCAACATGGCGGACATCCCTTTTATTTCTTACTGGTGGGGGAAAAAATCCTTAAAACGGGCTAAATTCAAAAAAAAAAAAAACACGCAGAGCGAAAAGAAGTGCTATTTCTCAATAATCGGGTAAAATTTCGAGGCTTTATTTCACGTTTTGATGATTTTGTTGAAATTTTTGATGAATCCCCATACATTTCCTCATAACAGGACACCACAGAAACCAAGCTTGGGCTACCTGTGGATTTACGCGAATATTGAAAACAAGCCACGTGTGCAGTCCTAGAAAACCAGAACGAGGCCAGGCCTTCAACATCCAAGATGGCGATGGCTAGAGTGATTTTTTTAGGCTTCGCTATTGGCCTAAGTTTTGGCATTTTCACCACCTACGTAGCTTTAGATTATTATAGAAGTGGTGGATCGCTTAATAGTTATTTAAGGCACGAGAAATTCAGTCAAAGTGGTGCTCATTTTGTGGAGTTTGACGACGATGACGAAGTCCATGGAACCCACTCGAGTGGAACTAAAAGAGTACGTCTTGTTCCGTCGATGAACTTTGATAAAGACATGAACGACAAGCATCATAGACTAAGTCAAAATATTTCTGACCGACTTAAAAAGGTTAGAGTATTGTGTTGGGTTATGACTAGTCCAAAGACGCTGTATGCTAAAGGTAGACCTGTTAAAGAAACTTGGGGCAAAAGATGTGATAAGCTTTTGTTTATGAGTTCAAAGGAGGATAAAAGTTTTCCTGCTGTTGGACTGGACGTCCCTGAAGGGCATGAAAAACTCTGGCACAAGACTCGAGCAGCTTGGCAGTACATCTACGACCATCATCTGAATGACGCCGAGTGGTTTCTGAAAGCTGATGATGACACTTATATTATTGTTGAGAATTTGAAATTTTTTTGTTCAAAATATAACCCAGAGAAACCATATTTTTTTGGAAGGCACTTCAAAACCTTTGGGGGATATAATAGTGGTGGAGCTGGGTATGTCTTTAGTAAAGAAACTCTGAGGAGGTTTGGAAAACTCCTCAAAGATCCAAGTCTTTGTTCTTTGCAAAGTTTTGCTGAAGATGTAGAAGTAGGGAAGTGCTTAGCTAATGCCGGAGTCCACCCAGGGGATACCAGAGATTCCAGACAGAGAGAAACATTTCATCCTTTCCCACCAGAGCACCACCTTATATCTGGTTATGTACCAAAGGATAGTTGGTTATATCAGTACAATAATCACCCAGTCATAGATGGACCAGATTGTTGTGCAGATCACTCTATCGCTTTTCATTACATCTCTCCGAACATGATGTATCAGATGGAGTATTTTGTGTATCACTTGAGACCGTACGGATTGGAACATCATGATGACTAATCTGAGGGAATTTCCACAATCATAAGGTCATTCATGTTACTTTAGTTTTACATATTCTGCGAACTCAGACACCGCTGGCTGTGAAATGGGTTGTTCCCTACTAGCTGTCTATCAAAACTAATTAGTTGGTACCTTTATGTTTTCAATAGACGGCAGCGAAATATCCATTTCACAACAAGCAGTTGGAAAGTCTGAGTTCACAGGATATGTGTCCACAGTAATAATAAACAATGCCATGATGAACAATAAACAGGCCCGTCACTAGGGGTGGTTCGGACGAACCCCCCCCCCCC